GTCCGTTAGCTGCTTCAGCGTCTCACGTCTTGTTAGAACAGACCTTGGCTTGGATGTCCCAGCTCAGTCCTGAGCTGTTTGAGGTTTCTCAGAGGGATCTTCAGGGTTTGGCTCAGAGGGTCGGCTCGGCAGGTTAGCTCTTCCAGAGCTTTCTCAGAGGAGGCACAGGTTTCCTGGAAGACAGAGATAATAGTTAGAATCCAGACTGGATTCAAAGTCATGGAGATACTCAGAGGATCTAGGCTTTAGCGCTGACCAACTGGAACAACACTGCGACGTTGAGGCAAGGTCTGAAGACAGCTTAAGTAGTGGATCCTCTGATGATCTTGACGAGCTGCAGCTGTGCAGGGAGCTCCCTCAGAGGATCCACGGCGGACTCTGCTGGAGAAAGATGGGATTTCTCCAGCTCCCAACACTTCCTGCTGCTAAGCAGCAGTCCTACAAACTGACACATCAGGCAGACCATTTGGAGGGCTATTTTGTGGCTTGCCAGAACCGATAATATGTCACTAATTAAAGATTATTTTGACATCTCTAATACACTGAACATACCTTCTGGTCTGATTTCTCTTGAACAGGAAAAAGGCTTTGATCGGGTGGAGCACCGATGTCATTGGAAAACTTCGAAGGCTTTTCTCTTTTCTCAGGTTTAATTTTCATGATTAAAACCCTCTTTGGTGACTTTGAAAGTGTGTTGATGATCACTTATGATTTAAGCGCTTCTTTTATTTGTAAAGAGGTACCTGCCAAGGTTGTGCAATGTCAGGAATGTTGTATTCTTTAAGTATTTTAAGAACTTTATTATGTCAATTAGAAATAATTACAAGGCATAAAACTAAATGGAATTAATTTACCTTTTCAACTCTTTGCATCTACTGAAATTATTGTTGCTTTTGAAAGAATAATACAATGTTCTTACATTAACAGAAGTTATTAAATTGTTAAGTCGAATTTCTTCATCTAAAGTTAATTGGAGTAAGAGTAAAGCTTTGTTAGTAAGTAGCCAAACGGGGGACTTAAATTACCTGATAAATTAAAGATGTTTTCAATTGTTGAAAATATTTGGGTGTTTGTTTGAGAGATCACATGGAGGTTATTAAAAATCGGGAAGGTTTTAGGGTAGGTTGAGGAAATGGATTCCACTTTTACAAGGAATGTTCTAAAGAGGTCATGCATTCACTTTTTATAAATATTGTACTCATGTTGCTTCATCTTAATGGCATTGTTTATTTGTTTTGGAAAAATTTGTGAAAATTGTTAGGACTCCTGTCTGTGTGGTCTGTGTTTTTGTGTGTTTGTCTTCCTTCCTCCACCAGGCGGCGCCTGGCTCTGATTCTCCTCCTCACACACCTGCAAGGGGTTACCTCGTTAACAGAGTGTTCTTTAGCTGCTGACTGCCACTACTTCGACGCCAGAGTGTTTGCCAGTTTGGGGTACTCTAGCCAAGCTGAGTTTTGCTGAGTCAAACTGAGTTTTTGTCCACCTGAGTCTTAACATTTTTTTTTGTCTTTGCCTCTCGGCAGGAAATCATCCGGCAAACTGGATTTTTCGGACCTTCTTTCCCTGGAAGGATCAACTGAGCTTTAAACTGAGCTGATGAAACAAACCTGAGGTTTGGATCCACTTTTCCCAGAGGAAACATTTGAGCTTCACACTGAGCAAGGGATTCATCTGCACAACAGACCATTCAATTACCGCAGGAAATCTGAGTGGCAGTCAGTCGCTCTCCGTTCATCTACTAGCAACCGCATTCTGGGTAACCCTGTTCTGCCCTCCACCGTATGAGAGAAACACCGGAACACATTCCTCACCTACGGGAGTCTAAGGCTACGTTCACACTGCAGGCCTTAATGCTCAATTCCGATTTTTTTTTTGTGAAATCGGATTTTTTTGCATGTCCGTTCACACTTCCAAGTATATGCGACTTGTATGTGATCTACTGTGTGAACTGAAAGCGTTCAACCGAAGTGTCCCGCATGCGCACTCGAGGACGCGATGACGTCACATGTAGCAAGCGTCCTCAGTGTTTGCGGAAGTAAACATGACTCGTAATACCGCAGCGTATATTGCGTTCTTTAAGTTCTTCTCCAACAGGAGCAGGCACATTACGAACGAAATCTTTTTAAGAAGATCAAAACGAAAGAGAGCCAGATTTCTTGCAATGGCGTTTTGTGGGGCAGTAATAGCAACGTCCATACAGAGCTCTCACTGAGCTCTCTATTGACTGCTCTCTGTGTTATCTTCCGCCATGGTTGTTAGTTTTTCCCACCTCCGCTTAGTAGGACGCAGATTAGTAACGTTTAGTAACATTTGTCAAGTATCAATGACGTGTAGGTCGGATGAATGCGACCTGGCCGTACAGACACAGGTCGCATTTGAAAAGATCAGATACGTATCGGATTCAGGACCACATATCCAAGTGGCCTGGGTCGCATTTGAAAAAATCCGATCTGTGTCGTTCAGACTGTCATAAAAAGATCAGATCCAGGTCACATATGGGCAAAAAAATCGGAATTGGGTCACTTCAGGCTGCAGTGTGAACGTAGCCTAAGAGTCAACCTAATCTCTGGAGACGTTCAGAGCAACACTGGAATCTCCACCAAACTTATCAATAAACCTGTTAAACTTTTTAATCCTTGTCTCTCTGGACTGGTTAATCTGCATGTGGGTCTGAGATCTTGATAAAATCATGACAAAAATAAAGACTATTATTCTTATAATAGGGTGGTGGGGGGTCAGATTGTATCTGGTCCATCAGAGCTCTTTGTTTTTCCCCAAAAAACAATGAGGGAAAGGTTTGAATTATTCAGAAAGTACATAAACGGCATTCAGGTTACAGTTTGTTGTACTGGGATCTAAATGTTTTGTGGGTGGCACCTTACTGCGCTGAAACCTGTGCAGGCTATGACGCAAATCTTGGTTAACAGAAATATTCACATTTATTGTTTAAATGTATTAAATATACACATTTTTACAGCATTGGTAAACATAATGAATGTTTGTGTTTGACCTCCTGCACACCATAATAAAACAAAACAAAAAAACCCATCTCTTTCCATTTTCATACATTTTTAAAAAATCTCCAAGGAGCCGCAAGGGGAGCGTTACAGAGCTGCATGTGGCTCATGGAGCTACGGTTGCTGACCCCTGCACTAGAGTAGTCTGTTATTGGAGCACCAAGCTTTTAAGCACCATCTAGGCCAATCCTCCAAAGCACATTTCAAGTCACGTGCAAATAAAAGATCCACCTGTCATTCTCATGTGGTGTTTGAGTCTTTTCTTTAAACACTCTGTGTATACAAAATTACAATAAAGTTTGTCTAAGTCTAGTTGTGTATTGATTTTCTTTTTTGCCATTTGAATCATGGTGAGTGTGCTTCTTTTGAATGACTTTCAGGGCTGAACTGTATATCCTTGAATCTTCCCCTCTGTTCAATGATGGAGCTTTTTTGCTATTAACAAACATAATTTCCTTCATTCCTCTTTAAAACCATCTGTCTTCTTTGTCCAAAATCTGAAAATGTTGATCATCAAAAGTGCGTCCTGTCTTCTAGGGTTGTATGCGTGCAGCTGAAAGTTGCCCATAGGTAATGGCTCTCTTGTGCTGCGTCCTGAGTGTAGTTTTTGTTTCTTCAATGTAAGTGCAGAAAGGTTCACAGTTACATTTTCTGTTCAGTGTGTTGTCCAACTGAACACAAAGGTATTTATACTCATCTAACAGCTGCACTTATTTCTCTATGATGATTGTAGCTTTTAAATTGTTCCCATCTTTTTGTTCAACTTTAGGATCAGATTAATTTTTCTACATCACACCACAGAGCTTTTCACCAGCTCCCTGTACTCAGCTTTTGTTAAACTTAGATTAACCCGACAACTGCAGAGTCACACAAATATTTATGCAAATAACTGGTCTCTTGTGCTAGAAGTCAGACGTGTAGCGTAAAAAATAAAGGCTGATTTATACTCAGAAACGTTTGTGTGTGTGTCGCATTGAAAGCAAATGTGCCCCCGCCCCTTCCGCAGACACTCTGCTGCACCTCTCCAAAATTGTAGGAGACAGCAGACAGAAGGCCGCTCTGCACTATGCATATCTCCTGTTTGGTACCCTACCAGCCTTGTTTTGTTTGTATGACCGCCATTCTGGAAAGCGACTCTTGAAGTTGGACCAGCTAGAAGAGCGAGGTGCGTGAGAACGCTCTGACCCTTTTTCCACCTGGATCCCCGCTCCTTTTCACCCTTCTGTCTCTCCATTGTTGCACAAACTTGCCCCCACTGCCTCACCCTCTCTTCCGAATCTAGACCCACATCTAGTTCTTTATTGTCCCTCTTGCATTGTGGCGTGGAATAACATAGCGCAGAGCACGCTTCAATACTGGGCATAAATCAAAAATATCTGCGACAAGCTCAGTGCGACACACACTGCTGCGAGAGAATAACCAGACCTTAACATTGAGAGTACTGTCCCCTGTGGTGCACCTACAGTATGTTGCTGACTACCTGAATATACATTTGAACTTTCAGTCTCACAAACTTTGGTCCGTTTCTCAGGTATTCTTTGATCCAGGTGACTGTTAAGGCCTCCTCTTTAGTCTCTTGGAGTTTTCATCTTTATGTGCCTCTAAAGGTTCAGGTCTGAATCCATCGCAACATCCAGATTAGGGGCCTGATCAGTGGTTTCTAGCTGAGTTAACTGTGGCTGAAACAATCATATAAATTAATTAAACAATTACATTTATGTTTCCTTTCTGAGCAGCTAAAATAAACAAAGCTACAAGCTGATGAACCATAGAACAGGTTTTCCAGGCGGAGTGTTGTTTATAATCTGTCCACTTTGTTGACTGTGCTGTACAGAGCACATGCTTCCTCAGAGGCATCATGATTTCCTGGGCTGTGAAGGAACAAAGATGATTTTTAAAGATAAAACGCTATCATTAACATCTTAAAAGCTGAAATCACTGAAACTGAATCAAGTAGAAGAATAAAAGCCATTCTGAACTCACCTAGGGGTCTTCTTGACCATGACCACTGAATACTCCACTTCCTCCTCCTCCTTATGTTTAGGTGTTTTGGGTTCAGCTGGAATAAAGTTCGAATAGACAGGTTCCTCTTGTTTCTTAGAGAAATGCACACTAGCATAGCAAAGGTCATCTTGATCTGTAGAATTTCCAAGATCAGCAGTTGGTGGAGTCTCCCGCTTTCGGCCAGGATTTTGCTGAATAGTACAGATACAGCAATAATAAGAGCAAAGTAATGCTGATTATGTTATGAAGACATTTCAAGATTTGATATTGTTAGTTGAATCTCTATGTTCTGCTCTCTCTGCTTTTTCTCATAGCAGCTTTGCCTCGTCTGTTCCTGTTTAGCTGTGACTCCATCCTGGAGAGAAATATCAGCTGTGCTGCTGCCATCAACACCTTTGTTTACAGGTGTTGGAAATTGGCCTGTTTTTTCAGTGTAGTCCTGTTTCTCTGCCTGGATGTGCTCTCTTCATCCTCTGACATTGCTTGCCACCATCAGTGTGTGAGTGTGTGTGTGAATGGGTGAATGAATGTAGTGTAAAGCGCTTTGGTCAAGTCTCCTAACTTGAATAAAGGCGCTATATAAGTACATGCCATTTACCATTTGACATTGCCGCCTTTTGAAGTTGCTTTTGTATCTCTGCTTCTGTCTCCTTGAACCCCAGTCAGCCTCAGCAGATGGCCGCTCACACTGAGCCTGGTTCTGCTGGAGGTTTCTTCATGTTAAAAGGGAGTTATTCCTCTCCACTGTCGCTACAAGCATGCTTAGTGTGAGGGATTGCATTCGAGAAAATGAGTCGATGCAATCAACTGGTTTTCCTTAGACAGAAAACTGAATCAATCTGACTGGATGATCTGGTGAACTATAAAGTGCCTTGAGATGACATGTGTTGTGAATTGGCGCTATAGAAAGAAACTGAATTGAATTGAATATTAATTCAAACCCCATAACTTCCAGAAAGAACCAGAGCCTCTCACTATCTGATAAACTAACTGAGGATTGATCTATGATGAGGAAAGAGCGTACTAACACCATAGCCCTTTGTCCCATTATGTCTCGGGCTCTGTCTGATCTCAGAGGCTGGCCTCGATGCCATTTTTTTCCTATAATTATAAGAAAGAGAAAAAGAAATAAGCAAAACAAAGAATTACATTATATCTTACAAAGATTTTAAGCAGCTTCAAAGAAGTAAAAATTAGTTACTTACCTAAAAATGATAAAGGCAGACACAAACAAACTGACCAGAAGTAAAAAGGTGATGGATCCAGCAATAGCAGATGTAGATGAACCTGATATAGAAGACATAAAACAAACATAAACTAAATCCCTAAAATAGTCACAGAAATAGAGAAACGCTGAAGAATTACATGCTGGTTGACAGAAAAGAGCCACACAGGAAAGAAAATCAAACAAGGTTTATTAATAAAACACAATTAAAGAAACATACAAATTAAAAGGCTTCAACCACTTTGTAATGGAAGAAAAAGCAATACCTTAGATTATAAGTTTCTTATCTTTGTATCCCTGTCAGATTCACATGAATCAAAGAAGAAAAATATATATTGCATTCCACCAAAAATCTCTATTTTCATAATTTTGTTGTTTGTCATTTTTTGTCTAAATTTTATAGAAGTATTTTAAGAAAGTTATGTAGGCACCTATAGTCTACAATTTAGCCTTGAATTTCTGCTTTCATACAGAAGAATGAAAATGTATTTACTTTTAATCCACTTTGCTTCACTGCTTGTTTTGAAATAGTTTTATTTAAGGAAACTTAAGGAATCACTATGCTATGAAGTTATATAAACTGGCTTCAAAATTAGGAAAAAGAGATGATGTCACCATGATTGACTGTACCCTATGTTCAGGTACAAGAGTGGAAACTAAATGTCTCAATTTGAGCCAGACTGTGCCGCATTTTTCACTTCTGTCCCCCTGTCCCACAAATAACAAAAAAGTCATGCATTTCACTGTATCAAATAAAAAAGGTTCGATAAAAATATTTAGACATTAACCTAATGTTAGGTTTATTTAATGATGATTATAAAATTAATGTGTGTGCATATGAAACATTGAAGAAACGAGATGCTTCACTCTGTCTTGTGATTCAGTCAGTGCACTGCAAAAACAATCCAGAAATAAGTAAAAAATGGCTTAAATTAAGTATATTTAGCCTTAATTTGAGCAGGTAAATAAGATGATTTGCCAATGGAATGAGTATTTTCACTCTTAAAATAAGATAGTTAGATAATATTTACTTGAAATAAGACGATAAAATAGTTTTTTCTTATTTTAAAAGGAAATTGTCTTGTTCCATTGGCAAAGTGTCTTACTTATCTCCTCAAATCAAGGAAAAACACACTTATTTTAAGAAAAAATAACTTATTGAGATTTATATTTTTTGCAGTTTGGAGCATTCTGTCTTATGACCTGATCAATTTTCCTGTCAGAAGAATACTGTTTTTTACCCACCACATGTGTTATGATCTGTTAATAAAAAGGCTCTGCAGAGGAGGTCTGGGAGAGAGGGTTAGTGAGTTGGGTGTAGCTCTTTCTCCTTCTGCAGAAGCTGTTGAAAATCCCTTTCTGTGTGAACTCAGTTCCTCTTTTACGAACCTACATTTTTTAACCTAACACCTACCGGTAAATATAAAAAAGTCTTTAACACAGAACTGAGCCAGTGTTTGTTATGGTCTTAAACAGAACAGGTAAAGGATTTTAATACAAAATATAATGGAACGGCATTTAAAGAAAGGAAAATGTAGCCACAATAAAAATTGTGGAACAGTTTATAACTGGGTGATTTGAGTGAAAGGTGATTCTAGAGCCTGTTTTGTGGAGTTTGCCGAAGTTATTTTTCAATTCCTATAAGAGGAGCACAATGTTAACCAACAATGTGGCACTAAAATGTAAAAGAAATAATTTTTAGATCTGGTCATCCCACTAGTTTTGAGAGATTATAATTACCCATGCAGAGAGTTGAAGTTAAGCAATGTTGGGTCACAAGTTTCTAGTTCTCCTTGGTTACTCTTACCCAACCATGCGACTTTTTCTCCTAGAACCCCTGATCAGCTGTCAGCTACATTAATAACTCAGCTTTAAGAAATCTCATAATAGATATAGCCCAGCAGGTTATATTATTTTGTTAAAGGGATAATTAAAGTAATTCTTAAACTAGAGGGTATTAAACATGAATAGGTGGTTAGAAAAGTGCTTAAAAGACATTTAGGTGGTTCTTGATTCAAAGCTTTACTAGTAGTTCCAAGAATTATCAAAAGTATAATGGGGGGCAGATCTGGCTCCTTTCCTGTGGAAACAGCTATCAGTTTTGTCCGTGATGCAGACATTCTGTTTACTTTTAAGGGTAGGCTTAAAATTTTCCTTCTTGATAATGTTTATAGTTGTATATAGTGGCTCAGGTTATCATAAGCTATCTCTATAGTTATGCTGCTATAGGCCTAGACTATGGAGGACATAGGGACCCCTTTTCATCTTTCTGCTTCATTCCATCTCTATTCCCCCCTTCTGCAGAATTTGTTAGTTCAACCTCTAATGTTCTGCTCTCCCTGCTTTTTCTCATAGTAGCTTCATCTGGTCTGTATCTGTTTGGCCGTGACTCCATCCTGGAAAGGAATATCAGCCATGCTGCTGCCATCAACACCTTTGTTTTATTGATGTTGGAGCTTGGCCTGTTTTTCACTGTAGCCCTGTTTCTCTGACTTTGACTAACTGGGTGCGCTCTCTTTCATCCTCTGACATGTCTCCTTGAACCCCAGTCGGCCTCAGCAGATGGCCGCTCACATTGAGTTTGGTTCTGCTGGAGGTTTCTTCCTGTTAGAAGGGAGTTTTTCCTCTCCATTGTCGCTACGAACATGCTTGGTGTGAGGGATTGCCTTCAAGTCAGTGAGTCGATGCAATCAACTGGTTTTCCTTAGAAAACTTTGAATCAGTTTAATTGTATGATCTGGTTTAATTGTCTCTGTAAAGTGCCTTGAGATGACAGGTGTTGTGAATTGGCGCTATGTTAATAAATTGAATTGAAACCTACAATCGTAAACCAAGTTCAGCTTTGTGTATCTAGTACAGTGGTTGACCAGCCAAAGCATGCAATCTACTGTTAAAATCAGTGTCATTAATCGAGCCGAACCAGGAGCATGATCCATACCGTCAGCTCACTTTGCTCTCGTGCAACCAGAAGTACATCTGTTTTGCCCTTCATTCTACTTTTTTTGTATTTTACCAATTTTGTTCTCTCCCTTAGTGCAATACAATGTGTAAAAGGTTAATAATTGATAAAAAAAAATTTAATTAATAAATATATATTCTGTTTTATATAGGATCCTAGGATATTTTGGGTTGCTAAATTTTTCAGCTTTTGATTTATTCTTAAATGTAGTTCTTTTCACATCTCTCTGCCTGCTCAAACTTATCTCTCCCTCACTCATCGCTTGCTTACATTTTTCTTACTTTTTACCTTCTTATCTCTTAGCCAAAGTGACAGGAAGTTAGACAAAATTCTTTTTCATTCAAAGATTATCTCGTTGTACTACTTTTAAAAAATTTTGATCACATAGCAGAGAAAGACACGCCAGTGCAAAATGACACAGCAGAGAGGCTGGCTGTCTTGGAAATGAAGATGAACCGATTGGAAGACAATGTGGAAGTAAATGCTGGTCATGGAAATGATAGGACCTTTCCAATGCCAACCCTGCCTGTGTCTCAAAAAACTGCTATAACCCCACCAGTGGTTTAAACAGCAACCTATCCAAACAACAAATAACTAATGAAACTGACAAACAAGGTGCTTCTAATGACAATAACCAGACTAACAGCCCCAGCTGGGAAACGCTTGGAGCCAAGCCAAAGAACAAACAATCCAATCCAGACCTCAAAAACCATCTGACAGAATGAACGCCACATTTAGATAACAAAACCTGGCCAAGACTTAGGAGAGACATATCTTCCACCCGAGAATCAGCAGGTGCAAAAAGCCATTGGGTCCCAAGATCACGGGGATTATGGGGATTCCCCAAAAACCGATGATTGGCCCTTTACAGCGTCAAGGAACCCTGATTGGTAGAGAAAGAGTCGCCCACAAGAATTTGTTACTCTCTGCTAACTTCTTACCCTTTGAGAGGGATGAGAACCATAAATCTGTACACTCAGACAGGGATGCTGTTAGACATGGAAGTTGTTGATGTCCTGATATGATGGCAGAAGACAGTGATGATGTTAGGTTTATTCAGTGATGATTAAAAAATGAATGTGTGCTTATGAAACATTTTTGCGAGGGGATGCTCCACTCCTGTCTCATGATCCAGTCAGGAGACCATCCTGCCTTGTCATTCTTATGGAGCATTCTGTCTTCATGAACTGATCAATTGTTCTGTCAGAACAATACTCTGTTTGTAACCATGCGTCATGTTCTGTTAATAAACGCTCTGCAGAGGACGGCCAGGGGGAGACGGTATGGTTGAGTCTGGGGTTCAACTGTCTCTCCTTCCTGCAGGAATAGTATCTAAAATTCGTGTATTTCACTTCTTCTTAAGAAAAAAACCTATTCATGACCCAGACAGATGACCATACCATGACCAGACCATAGCAGACTGGCATTAATGATGTCCATTCATAGGATGATAGCTGGGTTGACCAGGCGTCTATTTGCAGACATCCCACCCAGTCCAGTCAGTCACTCGATCACTGTCTAAGATGTAGCCAACTCAACAGTTGACAATGTAGAAGACCAAGGCCACTGCCCAGACATTTTGCCCCTAGACATGGATGTGGCTCCTCCCAGTTCTATCCGCCCAGACTTGTCACCTCTTGAGGAAGTCCTCACAGACTTAACACTTCCTGTTGACAATCCCCCAGACATTACTGGCCCTGTGACAGCTGTCCTGAATAGTCATTGTCCAGAAACAGTCATTCTGGGCTCCTCACCTCAGCTTGTTTGCATACTGCCTAACCATCTTCTTGTTAGGGATCCCAGGTCCATCGGGCCCCCAGACCTCTTATTTGTCAGATGAAAAACCACACAATAGGTAAGGCTTCTGTGTCCCCTGTGTCGGTTAGTTTATTTATTCAGTTCTTCTCTTGTGCACTTCCGGTTTAAGTAACAGAGTTATAAGAGTGTTAACCATGGACGAACTTTAGTAGTACTTTTGAGGTTAGGGGAACATTTAAGAGGTTTAACAGGCACCTTTGAGTCTGTGTTTAGTTGAGTGATGGGTTGATGTGGCATCATGAAACATTTTGACACATTGCCAAACTGTATTTAATATCCCAACATGCAGCCTATATGGCAGAATAAACTGACCAGGTACAATAATATAATTTTAAGTAATTGTATGTTATATTGTATTGTTTCATATCTTAGTTTAAATTGAGATATGCATTTATCATCACTAGAGAGTATCATCTTTATGATCAAGGATAAAATAATACTTTGGTTTAACCAGAAGCCACGTTTAAGACATTTGTGCAAAAAATCTGATTTCTGTCTACAGTGAATATATTTATAGTAATTCATCAACACTAACTTACTTGAAACCATGATATGTTGTAGGGTGGAGTTATGCTGCCCCTTGCTGTTTCTGGCCTCACAGTAATAATTTCCACCATGTTCATATCTGATGTCAACAATGGTCAGCATTGGTCCATCTGCTGCTGATAAAGCTGTGTTCTCTTTGTACCAGGCATACGTAGCTGCTGGGTTAGCATCACTGCTGCAGGTCAGATTCACTGAACCTCCCACCACTATCTCACCAGGAGGATTCACAGAGACAGAGGGGAGCCTTGGTGGATCTGCAGGACAATAAATCACATTTATTCAACTTTTAATCATGCAGACATATTTGTTAGAGGAGTGTTGGTAAATATGTGCAATTATTCTGTTTGTGACGCATTTTAAAAACTGGAATTCTTGATTGCATACACAATGCTATTCAGCATCAGCTAGTTTACCTTAGATAGAAAACTTTGAATCCATCTGACTGTATGATCTGGATGAATTTGCTCTGTAAAGTGCCTTGAGGTGTCATGTGTTGTGAATTTGTGCTATATAAATAAACTTAAATGAATTGAACTGAATACCACTTGGTACAACAACTTTATGACAAGGGCGCTTTTAAAGAAGTCCCTTAAGATTTTATTCAACATTTCTGCTTCTTTTTCCTCAGATTTAATCAGGATACATTTATTAATAATGCAAGTTTGGTTTCTCTTTAATTTTTTTGTCAACAGAATGGAACACATTTTATCACAGTAGCTATTGTGTACTCACACTCCACATTTATGTGAACAGATGAAGAGTTGATCCATCCATATTTATTCTCAGCTCTACAATAGTAGGTCCCGCTGTCCGCAGACCTAACAGCTGGGAAGTGAAACACACCTCCATGTCGTACAGGCATCATTAGGTTGTCTTTGTACCAACTGTAAGAAGGTTCTGGGTTAGCATCACTGCTGCAGGTCAGAGTCAATGAATTAAGTTCCACGACTTCCTTGTGACTCGTTGACACAACAAAAGGCTTTGGGGCATCTATAAAAAAACATAAAAAGGAGAGAAATTTCTGAAAATGTGTCAAGAAGATGGTCTCATTTACTTGATATAGACTGTTACAAATACCCAGAGTACTAGAACCTCTTCTTTACCAGAGAAAGTCAGTTATAATTAAATGAAATCCTGGTTTTCATACGAGCTGCAATCCGAACACCAAAGGAATCTGAACTAAAAACTAGATAAGAGATTTTAAGCTTGAATAAATCCCAGTCATGATTGAGAGACCATCTGGGTTTAACAGATTTAAATGATTGTTAAACCAGCTGTATTACTTACATTTCACATCAACATTTAGGTTATTAGATCTTTTCCCCAGCTGGTTCTCAGCTTCACAGTAGTATTCACCAGAGTCAGGCGATTGGATTTTATTCAGGAGAAGCTCTGAAGCTCGACTTAGAAGTTGAAGGGTTGAAGTTTGAGTCTTCTTGTACCAAGTGTAGTTTGCTGGTGGATTAGCTTCACTGCTGCACCTCAGAGTCACTGAGCTGCCTTCAAATATGTCAGCAGAGGGATCAGCTGAGAGAGAAGGAGAAACTGGAGCATCTGGAGGAGATGGAAACAGCAGGCTATGTTATATTATTGTGGAAAATCCTTTATTATCCAGGGCAGAGGTCTTAAAGAGGGGGTCCGTGACCCCTAGGGGGTCCACGGAGGTACTGCATAGGGCAGGCATGCCCAAAGTCGGTCCTCGAGGGCCGCTGTCCTGCAGGTTTTAGAGGTTTCTCTGCTTTAGCAGAGAGTAGTTTTAGTTAGTAGAGTTAGTTTTTATATTTCCCCCTGCATTTTTTTCCATTAATTGAAATGTTGACATAAATTCAACACACTGTAGTAAACAGATAAATGGAGGCAGAGGATGTCTTTCAGTCATCAATGCACACATTCAGTTTTCTCGGTTTTTATTTGTTGCCCTCTGCTGCCCTCTTGTGTTCTCATTTTTCCCTAGCTCCTTTTCTGTTCTGTTCTATGCACACCTGTTCCCAATCTGCTCATTAGTTCTCTCTTTGTCTCAGTCTCCCTTAAATACCTTCTCTGTTCAGTTCTTCCTAGCTGGGTCCTCATCAAACATGCACTAACTCCTTCTCTCTGAGCCTTCCTCCTTTGATAGTGATTCCCCTGATGTCTCTTTGGTTTCTGGTACGTTTTGATTTTTGGATTCCTGGTTTCCTGTTTAATTGAACTCTGTTTCCTATCTGGATATTTAGATTACCTGCCTGTTTTCAGTAAACTCATTGTTAAATCCACAAGAAATTCACCTCTGCCTCCCTGCCTCTGCTTTTGGCTCAACTAACCATAACCAAATCCTGACACCAGGAATCAGAATCAGAAATACTTTAATAATCCCAGGACCGAATTACTTTTGTTACATTACTCCTTATATAATATGACCATTGGCCTGGAAAACATTGAAGACCCCTGATCCAGGGTGAAACAAGTCCTGCACTAGTTTACTTTTAGAGCAACATAACACCACTGAATATGCCTGCTTCACATTGCAAGATTTTAACATTTCTGCTGATGCTGTACTTGCTAAACTGGTGAGTTGTTAGTTAACAAATCCTTTTTGATAGACTTCCTGTCACATTTAACAGGCTGCATCTTTGAGCTAGAAGAACACCACATGCTAGGATACGAGGCCAAGACAGTCCTTGAGATCTCTAGGATTGTCTCATTAGATTACCTTTAGGGCATCTGGGAAGGAGAAAATCATGGCAAAGATCAGCAATATTATCTCACCATGTGAAGGAGGTATTGGAGACGTAGTAAACGCAATCGGACACAATAGAAGAGAGCTCATTTATAAACTCATTTATAACTGAAGAAACTTTAAAAATGAGGAACAAGGAAGACAGAAACTGGGGAACAAATAGCTGGAGCAGGCCAATGAAGACAGACGGAGCAATGGAGACAAGAGCACAGGAGGAAAAACATGGAGGGCTACTGAGAAAAGAGATATCTGTCTATGAAAATGAATCTGACTAGCTTTGAAGTGCTGGAGAGGTGACAGAGGGAAACCAGAACCGGGTAAAACTAATCACCGAATGCAGGGTAGCATAAGGGAGAAGCGGAGAGAAAATGACTACGATATGAAAGAACAAAAATAGATTCAAACAGAATACAAACACATCCTGCTAACCCAGATGCTACAGACTATAAAGATAAGCATGAGTTATTTCCTTTTACCAATGACAAGATGTCTACTATTAAACCTAAAGTACTATGCTAAGAATGAATTGAAAATACTTCTAAGGATAAAATGTTATCCTATGGATGTCAGAGAGATTGACTGTTCTAAGAAATATTTACAAAGAGTCTGAATTTAATTCACTAATTCCTCCTGTTGTTACAACAGAAAAAGTCACTTTGGTTGATTAGTTTTTCTGTCCTTGGAGTCAACTCACACACTTCTGGAGCTCTTTGTTCCGCATTTCTCCATAAAGCACAGGAGATTCTGTCTGTAGCGCTAATTAAGTCTGTGTACGTTGATTCTTTTTGATAAGAAATTTTCTGTCCGTTCATGAACCAGATGTAATGACTGCCAGCTGGACTGCAGCTGCTGCGACACCTCAGCTCTGCATATACTGAGTCCTGGTTGGCTGATATTCTGACCACTTGAACCTGAAGAGCTAGAATATGACATAAAGAAACACATCAGTTATTAACCATATTATCTCATGATGAATAGCTAATAAACAGTAGGAAGGGGTAATATGTTCAACAATAGCTACCTATAACAGTCAGAGTTGTTCCATGGAAATCACTTCCCCAACTAACATAATTTGTTCTGAAGATGAATCGATATTCTCCTGAATCACTTTCTCTTAAGTTACTAATTATCAGGGTGGACTTTCCTCTTGTGTCAGTGACCTTCACACGACCCGCATACTGAGGGTCTTGTTCAATGTTCTCTGGTTCTGAGTGATCCCTCCTCTCACTGCGTCCAGAACGGAACCAGAATTTGGATGAGACAGAATCTGAAGAGTAATAACTGGAACGAATGCTCACAGATGAACCTTTGGCTGCACAGATTCTTCCATCACTGTAAATCACTTTATTGCAGTAGCTGCCCTGAACACCTGGAAGACCAGATTTCTTTTAGATATTTTGATTCAGAACTTTTACAAATGTAATTTTTGACAATAAATTAGACTCTGATGAAAATATGAAGAAAATCCAAATTATGATATAAAAATAAAATAAAAAACTGAAATCTCAGAAGAGGCAATGAAAAGTGATTAAACTGTTTAAGATAAAGATGTTGAAATAAACTCACATAATAAAGGAGCAGGGAAATCCTCATGTCCTTTAATAGCGCAGGATATGCTGTCTTTAGAGCCAAAATCTTTTGAAAACGTAGATTTATCCTGGCCGATCTTCTGTCCATTTTCGTACCAAACATATGTAGATTGGGAGGGTAAAACACAAGAGCTGGAACACTTCACTGTTTTAGAGGAATATGAATATCCGCTTGGGAAAGAAACAGTTAAATGTGGGTCTGTGGGGAGAAAATTAGAATTTTTGATAAACACCACAATGATATCTATTATATTATTGTTTAATGTTTAATAATGCAAACCTGTGACAGACAATTCAATTCCTGGTTCACCAGTATAGCTTCCGCCTGATAGGTTGGTAATAAACCTAAACTTGTAAACAGCTGAGTCGCTTTCTTTCAGGTCTGTAATCCTCAAAGTGCAGCTCTTCTTCCACCAATCACAGCTGTTTGTCACACGCCCTTCATACTCCTCCTGTGTCTCCAAACTGACAAAATAATTTCCAGTAAACCAAAATTTTTCTATCACGTTGGTGGATGGGTGTCTATACTCGCATTTCATTTCCACCGTTGATCCTTTTAAGGCACAGATAAACCTGCGAGAAGGGCTGTAAGTCACTCCCCAGTCATTATTACTCTGAACCTCTGTAACACAGAAAAAAACATGTTGAGGGAAATGAAACAGTATTGTCTATTTTAGCATCATTCTCTATAAAAAAAATAGAAACTGGTAAAGTAATAATTTGAGTTTATTTGGGGCTGTAAATTTTGTGTTGTTCCCATTTCTTAATAAACAAAGAAAATCTCCTTTTTTCTTTTAACCTTTTTTTTAAAAAGTGTTACATATCAGAAGTAGATGCAACATAACTCCCACAGCAGAGAGGAAACACAAGATATAATTCATAGAAACAATTAACATTTCAATCTAACAGACTAAGGTAAAGGATCTTTTTTTATTACTAAACATAGACTCATATTTAAATACCACAAAGTTAAACCCACAAGGTCTGATGTGCTTGGATGGTCTGCAAGCAGCTGAGGAACATAGAACTGAAACCTCAGCAGAAATTACCGACAATGAGGCAATTTAAGGCCTAAATTCAAATAGATAGAATATCATTTACATATATTCTTTTAAGAAGTACATTCAGTCCAAGAATTAAGCAAGATTGCTTTGAACAAAAGGGTTCAGTTTTAAATTACAGTTTATTATCCACTGAAAACCTCAGAAAAAAACATCAATAACCACTTGCTTACTATTCAGTCCAGGGTAATTATACACAACACATACAGACAATTCATACGCATCAGCCTGACATATCGGTAAAAAGTTTCTATCTAAGGAAAAACCAGCAGATTGTATCTAGAGATTGACTTTGCAGGATTTACTGAGCAGGCAGAGACGGTAGACTTTTACTTGCATTTTGTCATTCACTCTGCAGCAATCCCTCACACTGAACAGGAAAAACTCCTCTAATAGGATGGAAACAGTTAACTAGAGTTAACCTTTGGCCTACCTTATCTTGAGTTTGCTCTGAATGAAAGGTATAGGATTTTTCCAGGCCATACTCAAACCAAATGGCAGACTTCTTCTCAAACTTATAAAGACAACATAATCAAAATCCTCCACTTGCACAACTAACACCAATTTAAGGTCTTTGCTCATTTTATCCAGAGTCATGAGAAATCTTTTGTGGGAAAAAAAATTTGCTCCCCAATTTAGCATCAATGAACAGAGTTATATTTGCATTTTCATCAAGAGTGCTCAGCAGACAAAACGACTTCCTTCACAAATATTGATTGATTGGTTGATTGATTGATTGATTGATTGATTGATTGATTGATTGATTGATTGATTGATTGACATTATTGATCTCACTGTGGAGAAAGTTAGTTTCAGTCCCTTTGTCTACCTTCTCCCCACCGTCAGTAAAAAATAATAACTGCACTGTTAATTCTAGCAGCAGAATAAATGTTTTTACAACTCACAGCTTCTCAGACCACCAAATTCTAAACCTGTACTTTAGTAGTAGAGCTAGAAGGTATGATTTTAAAACCAAGGCGCCAAGTAGGTTTAGAGAAATCAATTCTCGGTTTTGCAAACTACTAGCAAATCGCTGGTTACTACGATCCAAAAATAACCAATTTCCTTTAACTCCATGTATACAATCTAATCTAAGAATAATACCCAGAAAAGACTTCAGAGATTGAAAAGGCTAATTTAAGAGAATCTCAGTTTTGAAGTCCACTCACACTCAGTGTTAAAAAAGGAAGTTGATTTTTTTATTTTTGAAAGGTCATTCATTAACTCAGTAATAATCCAACTATACATTCATCTCAGCCATTTATTGAACAGATTGAACAATTGAACAAGCCATCCTTTTTATGGAGGACCTAGAGAGTCACTGAAAAAGAAACCTGCCATTTCAAATTTTATATCTAAATCCTTCAATTTGAATTCCAGTTTGCAAAGCATTTTCTGATTGCACATTTTGAATATATATTTATTATAGAGAAATTCTAAATTGTATCTATTAAGTTCATTCCTTAATCCATTTCATTGTCAAATACGTCTTGAAATTGAATTCCCAATTAATTTACAATTTCTGTTAAACTATCTCATTGGTTAGAGTGCCACTCATTGTTAACAACAAAAAATTCATAATGTAAATTCTTTAAAACAGGTTCATCGATCTGTGCACTGTGCCCTCCTCATCAAATGCAAGTAAATTAATTCAAAAATATAATAGAAGCAAAATAAAAGCAAAATAAAGGCAAATGAAGATAAAAGCATGATTAATGCAGATAGTAAAGCAAACCAAACAGTTGAACTCCAACCTTAAACTAATACCTCAGTTAACAGTTTAACTTTAACTGTCAGAAATCTAGTTTGTGCGGTCTGTTTTGTGTCTGTCTCTCCCTCCACCAACAGGTGGCGCCCTGTCATTGTTGGTCCTCCCTGCACACCTGCAGCTCTTTGGATCATTATCTGGAGAAGTACTTAAGCAGTGGACTGTCACTACCTCGACGCCAGAGTGTTTGCCAGTTTTGGGTACTCTAGCCACGCTTAGATTGGCTGAGTCTAACCTGAGTCTTTGTTTCACTGAGTCAAACTGAGTCTTTGTCTCTCTGAGCTTTAACCTTGTTTTTTGTCTTTGCAGGAAGTCACCCTGCAAACTGGATGTTGGGCCTTATCCCCTGGAAGGATCGTTTGAGCTTCATATTGAGCAGGGGATGCAAACTGGATGCTAGGGCCTTCTTCCCCTGAAAGGATTGTTTGAGCTTCACACTGAGCGGGGGATAAATCTCCGCATGTACCGTTCAAGTTCTCCTGGAAATCTAATTGACAGTCCGCTCCATTGCTCCTCCGGGTCCAAAGAATATTTCTCTGTCCACTCTTCTATGTGTCCCCTCTTCTCTGAATCAACCCACACTTACTGGACTCAAAGTGAGAGAAGAAACCCCCCCAAACGTGAGTCCCTCACTAGCATTATCTTTACGGCAGCCAAGATTCCCACGGTCCCTGAACTAATCTTTGTCATATCCTCTCCAGACTTCCTACTTCCTGTTCACCAGTTCTTTTGAGTTCCAGATTACCCCCTTCTACCTTTTCCTCAATAAACCAGTTAAACCTTTGCCTTGCTCTCTGAGTGGTTCTCTGCATCTTTGGGTCAGATCTTTAAACACATCATGACATCAACAGTCAAAGGCAGCTCTAAACAAACAGGTTTTGAGCTCTGACTTTAAAGAACTCAGGCTTTCAGCTCTTTTCCAGTCTTCTGGGAGTTTGTTACAAATAAGTGGAGCAGAGGAACTAAATGCTGCTTTTCCATGTTTAGTTCTAGTTCTGGGTGGACAGAGTAGGCTGGAACTAGAAGACCTGAGTGGTCTGGGAGGTAGATACACTGAATACAGATCTGTTATGGGTTGAGGTGCTGATCTATTCAGTCGGGGGTTTTTAACTTTTAATATCCAGAGAGCCACTATGCCCCGAGTCTAGCAAAATAAGTCGATCAGAGCCGCAAAGGCAACTTACTTGATAGCAACCAAGGACCCTGAATGAATGGGGAGGTTCGGAAATGGCTAACAGCTTTCAACTCAGCTTTCAAGTCTGGTGATAAAGTGGCACTGAGAGCAGTGCATGCCAACTTAAACCTTGCCATCAGATAAAATCCAGGATCCCTACGATGATGCCAGCAACAACAGGAGGACACATCCTCCCCACCAGTAAATGCAGCAAACACTGACTTCCTAAATGAACTAAACAACTTCTTTGGAAGGTTTGAGGCACTAAAAGGCACTCAAGCAGTGAAAGCCGTTTCCAACCATGGGGAGGAGGCACTCAACCTGGAAACCTCTGAGGAGAGTCAGAGGAAAGGCCCCAGGCTAGGTACACATACCTGGGCAGGTGTACAAGGACTGTGCAGATCAACTGGCTGGTGTCCTCACAGACATTGTCAACACCTTGCTGCACCAAGCCATAGTGCCACCATTGTTAAAGTCTGCCACCATCATCCTTGTCCCAAAAAAGCCTTAATTTCACCTCACTCAATGACTACCTCAATGCCTGTAGCACTGATTCCTATCATGATGAGGTGCTTCGAAAGGCGGATTAAAAGTAAAGAACATATCGTCTCAAAGAACACATCATCTCCAGTCTCCCCGCAACATTAGACCCGTTCCAGTTTGCCTACCAATAAAACCGCTCTACTGAAGATGCCGTCTCCTCTGCTCTCCACCTGAGCCTGGCACACCTGGAGGACAAGAACACCCACATGCTGTTCCTGGACTTCAGTTCAGCGTTCAACACCATCATCCCACAGCATCTGATGGGCAAACTTTAACAGCTGGGCTTCAATAAACCCCTCTGCAACTGACTGTAATACTTCCTCACAAATGAACCTCAGTCAATCCAGGTTGGACATCATCCTAAACACAGGCTCCCCTCAGGGCTGCGTCCTGAGCCCCCTGCTGTTCACCCTGATGACAGACAACTGCGTCCCCAGGTTCACCGCCAATCACATTGTGAAATTTGCAGACGACAACACGGTGGTGGGTCTCATCAGAGACGACAACGACCGGGACTACAGAGAGGAGGTGGAGCAGCTGGTGGACTGGTGCAAAGATAACAGCCTGATCGTGAACGTGGAGAAGACGAAGGAGACCATCATCGATTTCAGGAAGAACCGGCCTAACCACGCTCCAATGCTAATCAACAGCTGAGCTGTAGAGGTGGTCAGCAGCACCAAATTCCTTGGGTTGTACATCAAAGACAACCTGACCTGGATTGTAAACACAACCTCACAGGTCAAAAGAGCGCAAAAGTGCTTGTACTTCCTGCAGAGGATGAGGAGAGCCCACAGCTTCTTCCCCATCGCCATCAGGCAGCTGAACTGTTAGGAAAACTCTAAATCATGACAGCTGAATGTTGAAAAAAAAAATTTAAAAAAAGGAAAAAAACTCAAAAAAGCTAAATGTTGAAAACGAAATGTAAATCATATCACAGTCTCTGCATCACACTAACCATATCAATGCGGGTTTTTTTTGCACCATATTTTCATTTTTATCCCAATGTTTACATTTGATCACTGCTGCATGTTAAGAAATGGAAATGTCATGAGAGCTGCATAAAGCAAAACTTTGTTTCTTATACACTCTGTGCCTGGATGATCTGGGTTCTGTAAAGTGGTTTCAGATGACATGCATTGAGGTGCTGAAACATTCAGGGGTTTTTAGACAAACAAAAGGATTTTAAAGTCTATCAACCTCACCCATCTATGTCTTTGTGGACCTATTTTTATGAAGGAATTAACAGTGATGTACGACTAAATATTCCCTAAAAGCAGCAGAACATATCTCCAAATATCTTGGTGTGTTGAGGCATTGAGAGATTTTATTTACTGGATGTAAGAACATGATTCCAGATACTGAATAACAGCCTAAAACCATAATCTTCCCTCCACCAAACCTTATTGGCCAGAAAGTCAGACAGAGAGGCAACATTCACCAGGCCAGAGAACATATCACCACTCCTCCAGCAATGTTCTTTACACAGCTGCATTCAACAATCTGCAATGCACTTTGTGCAGTTTAGAGGTCTCTACTCTTTGTTGACCTCTGTGCCGCGTCACTATGGGCCTCGGAACCTTCTAACCACACACTATATTTCATGCTGCCACTATGTTGTAACTGAGTAGCCGCGGTTTCTGATCAATCCTACTTTATTATACCAGTTAAAATTGAATGACGAATATTTAATCAGAAAGTTTAGATTTTACCGTCTCATTTGGAACAATTTTTGCTGATTAAATTAGTCAAATGTATATATTGTACCTGTGAGAACATAGGCATGATTCACCAATAAACAGTTACCATCAATGGTACTAAAAATGTATCATGTTTCTTCTTGTAGTAAATAAAATATTTGCAAAATAGCAGATCATTTATAAAGGTTTTTAAAATTTCTTTCATGTAGAGTGTGAAATAACACAAGTAATGTTTTAAATACTTTAACGCATGAACATTTCTTACAATATAAATATTATTCAACTTTCATTTTAAAGCCTCCGGATTCTTACCGGTACTTGTTTTAATTATCTGATAGTACTCTGAAAATCACACACTAGCTGTAGACATCTCAGCTTTCTTTACTGTAAAAGCTTTAAAATACATTCGAATAAAAAGTAGAAACACAGTACCTGCACAGAGGAGGAAAATAACAAAAAGATTTGCTGCTGCAGACAAACTCATAGCGACTTTTCTCATCTTTCACTTGATCTCATACAGTTGATGCTACTTCCTGGATGATGTTATGACTTTCTTCACAGCAGACAGAAGCTGTTGTTAGTTCCTCTTTGCCTTATTGTTATGCATGAACTGAGGCATTACAGTAATTCCCCGAAGAAGAAAAAGAAAGAAATGATTCCTGCACATGTTGTCTTCAAAAAGACTTCTTTAAATAGACTGTATGGAAACTGTTCTTACGTAACAATGGTCTGATCCAGTACTGGTATTAGTTCAGAAAATATAATTGATGGATAGGAAAATTCAGTTCCAATCCATATCAACATGTCATGCCAGTGTTTTAAAAGGTTTGCTAAAAAGTCTTCGTAGTCTGCTCTGCCGCTAGGTTGCTGCTAATAATGGTATAAATTTCTTGATCGGAGGTAAGTCTCATGAGACGTGCTGCACCCACCCTCCATTCAGGAAATTAATCAACGGTTGGTGGCCAACCTGCAGCAGAAGCACTGTGGCTAACCAGCTGTAAACCGCCACATTTCTGGTCTGTGATAACATTTTCCACCAGAGATAAACCAATACATCGGCAGCACCAGATTCTGTTTACATGTGTGCGGGCAAATTTTTTTTATACAGTAAAGTCGCTGCACACATTTTAATCAAGAACGTTACTTGGCTCTGAATAAGACTGGTGACTAGGGTTGCCAACTACCTGTAAAAAAAAAAGGGGGCGTCTCATGTTTGTGCCAGCTGACCCGATTGCCTTTACCCTTCCTGCAGAGGTGATTTTTATTAGCCCCACTTTGTGTAAGAAATTATTTTTTTAACTATTTGACTTTGCATTGAATTAGATGCATATTTATGAGTGACATGAACTCATGGAAAACAAATTATTATCCAGCAATTCACTTTAATACAACATAACTGTCATGATTTTATCTAAAGCTCGGACCCACATGCAGTGAAGCCAAAAAGAGAGACACAGGGTAAAAGTTCAACGGGTTTTATTGAATATTGAGTATTTTGAGTTCAGTGCAGAGTTCCTCCGAACTCTGCTCGGCTGGGAACTGGAAGACGAGGGGAAGACAGACTGTTAGATTCAGGCTCAGTGGGAAATTGGAGTTATTATTGAAGGAGAGGATTTGTTGCCACTCACGTTTCCAGAGAAGAAGAGACACGTAGACTCCAGTCTGTGTGTTGGTCTTCCAGAGTTTGTTTGATTCGGTGGAGGGCGGAACAGGGTTTACACAGAATTCGGACGGAGTGGAATGATGCAGCCGCTGGTTGCAACTCAGTTTACCTGTGGTACTTGAACGGGTCGTGGTGAAGATGACGTCCTTACTCAGAGAGTGATCTCAGTGTGCTCAAAGGTGGCCGGATCCAAACCTCCTGTTTGGAATCCTTTGCTCAGCGTAACACTCAGTTAATCCCACTTGGGAGAAGGCCAAAAGGTCCGAAAAGGTCCAGTTTGCAGGAAGGCTTCCTGCCGTAAGGCAAAGAACAAACAAAGTTTAGTCTCAGTAAAACTCAATATGATCTCAGCTTGACTAGAGAACAAAAACTCAGGATACAAAAACTCAGATAAGACTCTGAATAACAAGGCTTGGCTAGAGTACCCCAAACTGGCAAACACTCTGGCGTCGAACTAGTGGCAACCAGCAGCTTAAGAGCAGTCCGGTGATGAGGCAACCGCTTGCAGGTGTGTGAGGAGGTGAACCGGAGCCAGGCGCCTCCTGGTGGAGGAAAGGAGAAACACAAAAGACAAGACAAACAGACAAACACAAAAACTGGGATCCTGACAATAACAAACTTTGCTGATTAAAATAAGTACGTTAGACATAAGCCTGTCCTGCTTAACGTCAAACTGTAAAATTGAATATAAAACAGCGAACTTGTGAACTTGTAAACATTGTGCCTTAAATGCAATGACTGTAGGCTGTAAAGCAGAAAAAAATATTTAGCTCACTGCCACATTGCCTGGCGATAGCCAACTTTTTCCACATGTATTTCATCTGAACTCTTGCAGCAGTAAGAAGTTGTTTGTCTTTGAGTGTCTCTGAGCAAGAGAGTTCATAATTGAGGCTGACAATGAGCTCAGCTTTAATTAATTCAGTGGAACATTTCCTCTACAGTTCCTCTACATCGGTCCATTTGTCTTAGTTAAGGAGAAAACCAGTGGAAGATGGATGCTGAGGACAAAGGACTCAACAGGTTGGATGTTGGGAAGGTCAGCTGCCTGAATGACCTCCATCTACCTCTCTGATGTTCCTTTGCACTGCCAGGATTCCTTTACCTGAGTGAGTTGCTCCAGAAGATTCTTTAGGATTAAAATTCCCCCGTTCATCCCCCATACTGCTCAGTTGTCTTCTGCTATCTTCTCTGTGAGCAACACTTGGCCCGATCAATGAGATGAGGGTATTCTGGATCGTTACATACATGTTGTCAGCTCATTGGTCACAACACAGAACAGGGCCCGGGAACAAGTTTACCCTAAGTTTTGCATCTAAAGTGCCCTTTTTCTTCATTTTCCAATAGCTTTTTACTGACTATTTTTTCACTCTCACAGTAAGACTGTAAGACTATTACTAGTGGTTAAAAAGGCAAAGCAGGAAGTTTCCATCTCAGTGTATCTGTCCCGACCTCAGAACACAAAGCATCTGCTCTCAAAGAGAAGCTTTAAAATTAGACTTCGACAAATAGTGAAAATCAGCAGCTGTATTATGCATAATGAGGCAGCATAACAACCACCACAGATCGCAAGACAACTTGATGAAAATCCGGAATAGAGACAAACATTTGCAGATATAAACAGGACATAAGTTGAGACATTGGCAGAGATGTGCCTCAGACAATCTAAAACAGCTGGGTTTAAGATGCAAAGCAGGATGTCTGCAGAGGGCCATTACTAAAAGTGGAATGGTGTAACAAAGCGGTTCTCAATCTTGTTCTTCAAGTACTACTGCCATGCATGTTTCTTATTTTGAAGCACAACTGATTCAAATAATTACTTAAATGCCTGAATAGCCAACCATTGCTGCAGATGACAGATTTACATTAGGTGTGAGGCAGCAATGGGACAACCAAAAGATGCAGGGCAGTGGTAATATTGTTTTTTTTTTCCAGATTTTTATTGTCATTACACTGTCACAAGTACAGAGAAACGAAATGAACTCTCTACATTTAATCCATCCCCTTGGAGAGCAGAGGGCTGCCATTGTGTGGCGCCCGGTGAGCAGTGTGGGGTTAAGTGTCTTGCTCAGCGAGCCAGAGTAGCTGTCCATGGTAGTGGGGCCACTCCCCCAAGCTATCCACACTCCTTTAGCATGAAGGGTCTTGCCTAAGCCCCACACTGGCAGCTCATCTCCAAGCTCATCTTGGATTGTAAGTTAAGCTAGAAGAGGTGGAAGACTGTCCTCTTGCGACTCTGCATCAAGAGGAATGCAACGGTGGTTGCAAACAATGCTATAAGGGAAAAATTACATCTTTAAAAATATTCAATCAATATCAATTTCTGAAATAAAATTAGTCCAGAGAAAAAAATGCAGAGAGGGGTGGCCTAGTGGTTAGGGCATGGCTCAGCCCCACCCCCACAGACTGCCACTCTGGGTCCATGAGCAGCCTTCTGCTCCCCAAGGGT